CAAAGATTCTTATAAACCTTAGAACTCTAAAATATTCAATGTTAATGATTGCTTTCCAATGTAAGTTTGAGCTCCTCATATAGCATAATAACTCTTGGCTTTTCTCCTTGGATATTAGCGTTAATTTCGTCCAAAATTAATGTAAAATTTGTTGGATATTACGTGTTTCATAAATCTCTCCAACAGGATATGAGTTGTAATATTCATTTAAATCTGAATCAATCTTCCTTCGACTATCAAACAAATCACCTAATCATATTGTTAAACCATTTAGCAATAAAATCTGATCCAATCTTTGAACGAATATTCTTCCAAAATGCAGCAACAATAAACTCAAATGTCGTACCAACATGTTGTAACACCATGTCCAGCATGTGTCCCTTCTGCACCTCTATACAACTTAAACAATCTAGATCAATCTTAAACACTTTAAACACTTCTTTATGTTGTTGTTTTTCAAAAAGCATATAAGTTCATGGATTTATTTAAAGGATCCCCATACCCAATTTTCCTTCCAAAATAAAATTTGTGAGCTTATTGAAATATCCACTGAGAGTTTGCCATATTTGTGAAAATGTTAGTCTTAAATACTTCCCAAATTGATTATTGAATGTGATATCCTAGTGGTTAATTATGTTTAAAGAATTTGGCATTGATAAACTCAAACTATTTATAGTTGTTAGTAAACAGATTCTAAATGAGTTTCAATATGAGATCCAGGATATTTGCATCCAAAGGAGAGTAAACCTACTTCCATAAGATATTACAAACTTTCCTAGTGTAGATATATCCACTCCAAATGAAGTTTTGATCTATCTAACCATTTTTAGGAGCTCAATAGGCCATAGGTAGATATGGAATGAGTAGACAAGTTGTCCGTGAATAATTAACTTGATAAGATTGATCATGCTTATTATTTAGATGAGAGCTCATTTCTAGATATGGAATGAGTTTCAATATGCTTATAAAAGTTTCACCTTAAGTAGTACATGCATTATACAACACTTATTAATAAATTAAAGTGATGCCTTAGGTAGTATATTAGGTAGCGTCGTAAATAAACAAAAAATGTTATCTAATATACACATAGAATTTAACTAATTAAAATTTTTGAAAAAAAAATCAACTTTAGATAGCACTTATTAATAAATAAAAGTGACGCCTTCAGTAGTATATTCGACAATATTTATTAATAAAAAAATGCTCAATTAATAGACATTTTATGCTATTTTTTTTCTTATTTAATAGTTAATAACTATTTTAAAAATAAACTTCAAAAAGTACAAAATTAATTTTCTTTCTACTCAATTATTTCTCTTATTTTTTATTCAATTCTTTTTCATTATATTTAGGGTTTGCCACTTCTTCTCTTTCATTTTGTAGGTTTTATGTTTTTTTTTTATTATTTAAGGTTTGTGGAAAAATTTTATTCTTTTTCTTTAGGTTTGCAATGAAAAAAAGTTTCTTTTTCTTTGTGCTTGCAATTAAATACTTTTAATTTGATTTTTTACGGGTTAATTTTTAATTTTGTGGATTTTTATTGAAGTTTATGTTTGGTTACAAATAACGATAATGAGTCTAGAAATCAATTTTTAATAATTGTTTAGATTAAACCATGTTAACAAAGTGTATAATTTTTTAATTATATCTATATAAAGTGAAAGTAAGAATTGTATGGAAGAATCGAAACATGCATGATAATGAGAGCAATATGTGATATTATATGATTGACTGTTAAATTGGAGGTTTTAGATCAAATTCAATAACTAAATTTCATTTTCTCCAATTCAAAAGAATGGATGTTGAAAGTATTGTGACATTTTCTTAATTATAAGATATTTTTATTGATAAAAAAAATTGTATTTGATTTTTTCAATAGAAATGTTCTAGTATAAACAAAACAATGGAACACTACCAAACAGGAGATCAAGTATCAAAGACTAAATCAAACAACATTATACGGATCAGAGTACATAGTGAGTATCATATTCTAAAAATGGCATGGATTTATAATTTAGTTATTATTTTGATACTTAATATTTTTATCTAATTAGTTTTAGATCAATATAATTATGTTATATTATGCAGTACTTTGATGACTTCAAGTACTTTACTTACTTGGAAGATAAATTGGATGAAATTAAGGATGATTGATATGAATATGTCAAATAATAGTTACTTAGAAATGTTTGTAAGTTATCAATTGTGATCATAGAAGTTAGAGATTAATTAATAGTTTTTTTTTTACTTAAAATGATACTGATATAATATCTGAGTGTCATTTTGGCTTACTTTCAAATGGATTATCCAACCACTTCAAGTGCAACCATTAAAAATATGTATTTTGGTGAACCAAAATTTTCAATTTATATATATGTAAATATGATACTCACTAGTTTCAAAATTTCATCACATATGATGATTATTCATTAAAATGTGGATTGAAATATAATAAATATGATATATATGACATAAGTTGATCGATCACGTAAATATGTTATGTGCAGGGTATATAAAAATGAAAGATTTGAAAGAAGACATTATTGAAGTAATTACATATCGTATTATCAAAGAATAAGGAATTATACTTCAATATTTCATGGAAATTATATAATTTTGAATAGATATAGATTTTCATTTTTCTCCATATATGTAATTTTGGATTTGTATTAGAAAGATAATGAAATTTATGCAAATTCAAGTTAGTTTACTTGTGGTTATTATTGATCACAATACAATATTGATCTATGATTATGAGAGTTGTAAAATTTATATATTTGAATTAAAGAGAAAATTTTGATATTGAAACTAAAAATGACTTACGTCAGCGCTTTTATAAGAAAGTGATGTTCTAAAAAGGACTTACGCCATCATTTTTAAATAGAAAACATAGTCTAGAGTATACTTAAGCCAATGTTTTTAATTGAAAACGCCTCCTAAAGTGCACCTATACCAGCACTTCTAACATAAAGTGTTGCCTAAAGTACATTTAAGTCAGCGCTTTTAACAAAAAGCAATGCCAGAAGTGAACTTAAGCCAGTGCTTTTAACAGGAAGCGCTGCCTAAAGTGCACTTAAGACAATACTTTTAACAGTAAGTGTTTAAAGTGCACTTAAGTCAGCGCTTTTAACAAAAAGTGTTGCGTAAAGTGCACTTAAGCCAACACTTTTACATTAAAAAAAACCGATGTTTATACCTTTAGCAGCGCTAGAATCTACAACACTTAAAAGTGTTGTCTAAGGTCAAAAAAGCGGTGTCTAAGATCTTGTTTGGCATAGTGGATGAAGATGCATCATTACTGCAGTCCTAGAGCCACGTGTCTCGACTCCCTTACAAGAAAAACATTTAATGTGCATGTTCCCAATACTACCGAACTTACAAATATCTTGCACCCTTCCAACCAAGGGCCGAAATAGGCAATCCACCACAACAAAATCCTCGTTTTAGCAAGCAGGAACAAGGACTTAAGAGGAAATTATCATGTGTCGCTTGCAAGGCCCGCATGACAAGACCCAAATACAAGCTCAACCCAAAGGAATACAAGCTCAACCCAAAGGAATACAAGCTCAAGCAAGCTCGAAGCACGCAATCCTGACCTCTTATAAAAAATTTCACCATCAGATTTAATCAGATGGCGATCCACATAAGATGCCAGATCAATTGAGAGTGGTTCTACTTAGGGGTGTACATGAATCGGTTTGGGTTGAATTTAGTCAAAATCATGACCTAATCCATACATAATACATTGATTTGGGTGAGGTAAAATAACCACCCACAACATCAATGAGTTGGTTCGGGTAAAACCACAATTTGTGGGTTGAATTGAGTTGGATAGTGGGTTATCAAAATTTCTCCCCTTTTTTCTTCCTTATATAATTATAAATTATGTGACACCTTTTTTTCTTAATAAATAGTCCAATCTATTACCGCTATTTTTTTAAGCATCAAATGTCTAAATGCGCGATAAAATTCATCATAAACATATTTGCAAAAATCAACATTACATTACGCTAATACCTAGAATTGCAAAATATACTTGCAACTTATAAGAATTAACATAAAAACATTAAAGTGTGACATCCTAAATAAGTTAAAATAATTAGTTATAAAATAAAAGATGTTCAAAAGGTTGTAATTAAAGCAACCAAGATTAAATACATCAAAGTCATCACTCATCAAATTACAAAAAATAGTAGAAAAATAGTAATGCAATAACACATGGGTTTTGTGGGTTAGGTGTGAGTTTACCCATAACCAAATAATTTTGAATGGTTTTTAATTTTTGAAAATTGTGTTCTCCCAATAACCTGATTCAATCCATTTTTTGTGTCGGTTTGAGTGGATTTTACTTAATTTATTGGGTTTACCCAACCCATGTACACTCCTAATTCTACTAACCTCCATCTCTCTCTATATAAAGCTCTTCACACACAAGTCCCAAATAATTTACTCATTCTCACACTTACACTATTTCTTATTCATTTACTAACTTAAGCATTGAAGTGTTAATCTTATCGGTCTACTTCACTCCTTTGTACTAGAAACTCCTTCCACCATACCTGAGTCCTATTTCACTCTATTAACAACTATTTATGATGCCTAAAAGAAATAATATATAACTATTAAAAAAATCACAATTAATTTTTGCCATTCACAAAAAAAGAATAGTTTTTTTTTTATCAAAAAAAATAAAAAATAAAGTTAAACTACTCTCTATGTGTAATAACAAAAATAAAATAAAGTTAAACTACTCTCTATGTGTAATAAATTTTATCATTTAATATCGTCTTATTCTTTTTAACAAATACAAAAGTTTTTTGAATTTTTTTGAATGACATTAATAATATCTTCATGTTGAGACATGCGACAAGTCCCTTTTGTTTTTCTATAAATTCAAATGATTCTCCCCAACATTAGGTAACTCTTAACATTACTCATAGAGTATTGTCCTAGCAACATAATAAAGTACAACAACTGCTAGAACTCACACAAACATATAGATGACTATTAACGAGGGAGTGCTAAAAGAACCTGAATGGAGAATCAAAGTAGAAGATGGTGTTATATGGAAAACAGCTGAAACTCCTCACATCATGTGGACATTTATAGCAAGTCTCTATTTCAAGCTATGCGAATTTATGAAAAAAGCTTGGGAAATTGGTGTGAATGATCCAAGAAAATTCATCCATTGTTTAAAGGTGGGAATAACACTTACAGTTGTTTCACTTTTCTACTATCTAAACCCTTTGTATGATAGAGTTGGAGGAAATGCTATGTGGGCAGTCATGACTGTGGTTGTAGTCTTTGAATATACTGCTGGTAAATATATACACACTTTTTACTATATATAAATTTTATTTCATTTTCTCCATTTTTTGAAAAAAATTAACAAGTGAAATATACTATAAAATTGCAGGTTCAACAATATATAAAGGTATAAATAGAATATGTGGAACTACACTGGCTGGTCTTCTAGCCTTTGGTGTACATTGGGTTTGTAGTAAAGCTGGAGAGAAATTTGAACTTGTAACTGTTGGAGTCTTACTCTTTCTACTGGGTATACTATTTATATTACTATTAAGAGTCTTGATAAAGTAATTATGATTAATAATATTTTCATTTTTATTTTCAGCTTCTGCGGCTACATTTTCAAGATTTATTCCAATCATAAAGGCTCGTTTTGATTATGGTGTGATGATATTCATCTTAACTTTCAGTTTGGTTTCAATATCTGGTTATAGAATTGATGAGTTGTTTGATGTTGCAAAAGCAAGAATTTCAACAATATTAATCGGCACTTCATCGTGCATAATCGTGAGTTTGATTATTCGACCGGTTTGGGCTGGTTTGGATCTATATGTTTTAGTTATCAGAAACTTCGACAAACTTGCCGATTCTATTCAAGGTCAGTTTTTTTTAAAGCGATTGATTTATAAATATCAATAATTTATTTACATTAATATATAAATAAATATTAATAATAAATATTGTTGCAAAAAATTGTATTCTAAACCATTTGTTTTTGCCCCATCAACTTATTGCAAGTTTGGTTTAAATAATAAAGACTTTTATGTTCTTCTTTTGCACAATACCTAAGACTTTTTTATGAAAACTTGGAAAATTATTTACTTGAACTTAGTCTTGTTCATTTTATATATAGATAGTCACATCTACTAAATAAAAGCGTAAATAGTCTATGGTCCTGGGTGTATATGTCTTCATTTTTTGTTTTTAGTGAAATTTAAATTTTTTTTATTGAAAACATACATATTTTAAGTAGTATTTAAGATATGAGTATTAATTTTTATTTGATTAATTTTTAATTAATTGATTTTTAATGATTCTATAACTTATACATAACTTCTATGTATATATTAGTAATATTCACAACAACTTTTTTTAAAAAGTATTTAAAAGTAATTTTAAAAACTACAAAAATATATATAGTTAATATTATTTAGTCTAGTTTTAGTTTTTATTTTAAATAAAATTAAATAAAAAAACTGAATAATTTCATAGTGATTTTTTACTTAACTTTAAAATTTTATCTGGTAATAAATATTGTGTAAATATGTGTTTCAGGTTGTGTGGCTCAATATTTTGAAGAACAAACAAGTGATGAGGAGTCTAACAAAAAAATGATAGGTTACAAAAGTGTATTAAACTCCAAAGCAACAGAGGAAGCAATGGTATAAACTACATTCACATATATTTAAATTACAATATACCTAAATATAATCCATATTTTATTTGCGTCTATTAACTGAGTTGATTTAATGAAATAATATAATTAATTTTATTCTAATTATTATTGACTAAAATAATAATATCATTGGTAATTCCAGACTAATTTTGCTAGATGGGAACCTCCACATGGAAGATTCAATTTTCGTCATCCATGGAAACAATATCTTAAAATTGGAGCCACAATGCGAAGATGTGCTTCTTGTATTGAAGCTCTGAATGGATGCATAAACTCAGAAAATAAGGTAATATCCAAATTCTTTAATTTTTACAAAAATTATCTATATATTAAATAAATAAAAATTGGTAGATTCAATTAATGATTAATTGAATTATCTTTTGCAGGCCTCATATGACATCAAGAAAACTATGAGTGCACCATCTATGAAAGTGGGTGCAAACACTGCAAGTGTCTTAAGAGAGTTAGCAATTACAATCAAAACTATGACAAAGTCAAATAAACTTGATATTCTTGTTATAGAAATGAGTAATGCTTCACAAGAGCTTCAAAATATACTAAAATCTTATCCAATTACACTTAATAAAAATGGAACAGAAGTATCCTATGATGAAGGAAAAGTTGAAATCCCAATAATGGAAATTATTCAAGTGGTCAGTGTGGTTGCTTTGTTTAATGAAATTGTAGTTCGTGTGAAAGACATTGTGAAATGTGTTGAAGAACTCTCAAATTTGGCAAAATTTGAACCAGCAGAATTGTCCAAGTGTAACAAATCTAAACAACATTTGACTGATAACAAGATCTCTCCAGAACAACAAAATGACGAGGAAACAAAATGATGAGGAAACAATAATCAAGATAACACCATATTTCAGACATTGATCCAAATTTCCATTCTCTTTCATGTATAATATGCAATCATTAAGACGTGCATGTATTTTGATAATAATACAAATCCATTGGACACAATATCTTCTTGGCCTCATAACAACAATCCGGAAAATTATCTTATGCTAGCATTTGTTTCAATAAATCAAGTAATTCTATGAAACTTTTATTCGACCACCCACTTTTTGCATTCAGATTAAACACTTTTAACAGCACAGGTAATCTTGTAAAACTTGTACGTCCCTTATATAAAGGCGCATCCTTATCACTACATAAAATATCATAAATATGGGCTTTCATAAAAGACAGTTCTCCAATATCACAGATCATATCTTCTAGTTAATCATCCACATATTCATCAACTTCATGCATTTGTGACGCTGCAATTTGATTTTTATCCACTTCTTCATGCCACGTCCATGTTATATAGTTTTGACATATTCCATCACAACATAGGTGATGTAATATTCATTCCTTTGACAATTTTTTTAGATTCCCGCAGTTAACACAAGGACAATAAAATAAACCATTATTTCCAAAAAGATTGTTTCAGCGAATTCAAGAAATTCAAGAACTCATTTCTCATACACCGAACTTAATCAATCATCTTTCATCCAACTACAAACCATAACAAATTCTGATGTTTATATCAAAAGACTAATGTGAATGACACACTAATGCTACACATACAATATACTAATATGATTGTATGCATATGCATATCCATCACAACAATATAACATTTATCAACACAAAACCTAAAGCATATTCATGACATCAACCAACACACCGACAATTTTATTTGCAAATACACAAAGTCATAGTCACAAAATCTGAACAAAACATGAATATGCAACATGAACATTACACATCACAATGTCAATGCAAAAACGACTGATTCATGAAATGCAACAAAGCCAACATCTTTTATGTGTTATAAAAAGAAACTGGTAACCCTAGTGAATAACATAAAAATTAAAAAAGATGTACTACTATTACTACAACTAACTAACTAACTACCTAACTATATATATATATATATATATATATATATATATATATATATATATATATATATATATATATATATATATATATATATATATATATATATATATATATAGATATAGATAGATAGATAGATAGATAGAGAGAGAGAGAGAGACCATAGAGAGCGCTTATTAGATGAAAGCGCTGCTATATGTGGGGGTTTCAGCAGCGCTTTTCAAAAACACTGCTATAGGTGTTACTTTTAAATTTAATATTAAAACGAACCAGTTACTAGCAGAAACAGTATTACGCATTTAACGTTCTTTCTTCCTTTCCCTCTCGCGAAAAACCCTTCCATTTCTGATAAAACTCTCGCGACTAATACACCATTTTTGCACCGTCGACTGTCGCCATCCCTCCGTCCGTCCGCCATCTTCTTCCTTTCCGACGGCTACAGTACTCCGTTCGTCCGACCATTCCACCATTTTCAAGATATTTTAGTCATTTTCTTCATTTGCATGGTTATGGATTGTAATATTGTGGAAATGTTGTGGAAATGTTATATAACTATTTCATATTAAGGTATTCTAACTGTATAAGTTTTTCAGATTGAAATATTGTGGAAATGTTGTGGAAATGTTGTGATAAAATATTGTTGTGACAAAATTATATAACTATATCATTTTAAGGTATTCTAACTATATAAGTTTTTCAGATTGAAATATTGTGGACACTACGCCAAAAAAGACCTTTAGCAACGCTTTTTTTGGCCTTTAGAAGCGCTTAAAAGCGCTGCCAAAAGTGGCGCTACTAAAGGTAAAGGCAGCGCTTTTTTATGGAAAAAGCGCTGCTAAAGGCTCCCTTCAGCAGCACTTTTAGCAGCGCTTTTTTAGCCCTTTAGCAGCGCTTTTATAAGCGCTGCATATTCCTCCCAACCCTCCCCCCTTTAGCAGCGCTTTCACAAAGCGCTGTCTTAGACCCCACCTTTAGTAGCGCTTTTACAAAGCGCTGTCATAGCCCCCCCTTTAGCAGCGCTTTTTAGAAGCGCTGTCTTAGACCCCCCCTTCCAAACCTATAGCAACGCTTTTGTAGCGCTATGTTTGTAACTTTGAGCAGCGTTTTTTTGTAAAAACGCTGTCTAATGTCCCAGATTTTAAATTTTTTTTTTATAAATATTCACGCTGTTTTGTATATTTACCAACAACCTGCTTATATTACACAAACCTGCTTATAATTCAGGCCTTTATTTCAACACTTTGGCCTTATATATACAATTCAAAACTTTGGCCTTATATATACAATTCAAAACTTTGGCCTTTAAGTATACATTGTAACTCATCACTTTGCCCATAATCATTTTAATACACATAAACCTGCTTAAATATGTTACAACAAAATCCGATCCTCAGAATTACAACATCACAAATACAGTCAATTTACATATAATTACAATTCTTCCAATCCGATAACTTTATACAATTCTCAACTCAAGAATAAATTGACACCATTCCTCTTTAATTTCTTCCAATCTTGCTTTCGTGTAAGTAGCGCACTTGAATTCATCAAAATACTACATAATATAACAGAACATGCAAGATTTAATTTTAAAACTAATTACTCAGATGAAGTATCGGATAATTATCAAAAATGAATCATATAACTTATATAATGAATTGATCCATACCATGATTGGAACCTCTATCTGACCAGAAAGAATAATTTCCTTCATAAAGCGCAATACAAAATATCCGCAGTCAATCCCATTGCGCTGACGAGGACACTGTAAATGGAAAAAACAAACGAACATTTATCAGGATATATAGTTTAAATAGTTTTATCAAGTAGAACCACTATAACAGTCAAACATGGGAAAATACACCTCCACTCTGATCCAGTTGATGTTGTTAGCCTTGCTTTTTGGCACCGTTGCATCTCTTTGTGCTCTGAATATTTGTATAACTCTAACATAATATAAACGCATATTTAGAACAATGTCACATAATAAATAAAGATATATAATTATTCAGAACAGTATATCTCATCACTTACGTATCAACCATGTTCCTCAGATTTTCATATTTTGTTGCATCGCCATCCAATGAATCTATATAATACACTATTTCTTTCCTCGGATTAATCGCGACCAACAACCAATGTCCACTATAAAATAAGACAACAGTTTAGACGAAAATGTTATATAGAAAGGCAAAAATCGAACAATTATAATAAATGAATTTAGAATAAAATATAACCCATGGCTAGTATTATATGGCAACAAGAACAACTTCTCCGTAGTCGCGCCCATAAATCTCTGCACTGTGTACTCTTTGACTGCATCTGGTGTCTGGTCTATTGTCCGTGAGTTGACACAGCTAGCAGATGAGAATGCGAATACTGAAGTCAAATCATTTGGGACCAACAACTTGTCATACGAGAGCCTAAAAAAACATAATCAACATTAGAATATTCAGTTAAACGAGCAAATTTTAAAATGTTCAATTATTTAATTAAAATGGATCGAAGTACCTGATGTATGAATGCATAACACCGACGCCCAATTCAGAATGGTTGAAAACCTGGTCAAAATCCTCCTTAGCAATTGTTTTGGGATATTCAAAACCGAAAATACCTCCGTCCATATGTATTTGACGGATGTCACCCTCAGGCACATCTGATGTTCCCACATATGTTTCAAGGCACATCCTAAATCGAGGAACAAATGCTTTTCTGGGAACCTTGGAAGTTTCAGGCATCTTACCCTTGCTGACTTGTTGGGACTGCTGATCATGAACCTAAAAGTCATATATAAGTTCATTAATTAATGTATAATAAGATAATCATGTAACTGTAGTAGTACATGTTTCTTTGATGCAGCTGAATCGGTATCCCGCATAATAATTCTATCATCTTTTGATTTGGATTTTGTAGGAGACTAAGATCATCATGTAAATAAGAAAATGTAAATGTAAGAATAACTTTCATGTATGGATCATAAAACATTTGAATATTAAAAGGTTCAACCTACCTCATCATCTATGCAAATGAGATTTGTCGGTCATGCCACATACGCTCCTATTGCGTCTCCCACCACTGTTGCGCCTGAAATAGCATCTGGTATAGGCAACAACGCACCCCCTCTAACGCAATATCAATAGATACTTTCAAAAATCCAGAAGGGAGCGGTTTGTGGTGAAGTAAGTCTCCCAGAGTGTTATGCACCTTTCCCTTGCCAACCATTCGATGAGTCGGTGACGATAAATATAGCCGACAAAGTGAAATGCCCTAAACAAATAATGATCAGTTAATGTGTCAATTAAGTAATCTGTACTAAATTAATTTCAATTTAATATATACAATTACCTCTGGAAGCTTCTGCGGACAACCGATACTATCTTTGTCACTAGTAGCTTTACCCTCTGGAGCGCACCTTTCCGACATGTATCTCTCCTTGTCCTTCTGTAATTCACGAATCTGCGCTTTCAATTCCTCCAAAGTATCCATCACTTTTTTATTGGTTGGATTTTTTTTCTTTGGCTGCTTATACAGTTTGGATGGAGTGACACCAAATCCCTTACCCCTCACACGCCCAGAATACTCAGGAATATTCAACACCTGACTCAGTAAGCTTCTGCAATCATCGTCCTCAGCGGGAGTTAGGGTCTGGGATAGAGTCTTCTGAAATATAGATAAAAGCATATATAAATATATTATACACTTTTGATCAGTTATTGACAAAGATAACGTTGTACTTACACATTGTTCAAAGACTTGTTGAACTTCTTCCTGAACGACTCCATCTCTTCCCACACGGGCAGCCTTCCATACAACATGGTCCGGAAGAGATAACTCATATTTTTGTTATATTCAAATTAGAAGAAAACTCATTTGTATGATTGGTGCTAGATGAATTATCCATCAAAGTTCAAAATAGCAACAAAATAAAAACAACAATAATATTAAC